ATTGTATCATGATTGTAAATATGGGTGCAATGTCCCTGCAAAAATCGCGACTACTCCATGCATGCGTGTAAAGAGAACTCCCTAAGGACCAAGGAGTACACCAAAATTAACCACAATGCATATAAAGAATATGGCCCAATTAACATTGCGATGTCCTAGGGCAGGACCATATACTCCATCCCTGCATTACATCAGAGTAGCACAAACCTACTCCAACATATTAACAATGGCATTGTTGTTATATTTTTTCGTTTGTACACGCTTTTGTTCTTCACTTCTCAGATGTTTTTTCGAAATCAATAAAAACCAAAAACAAAAATTAAAAATTACATGTTGCCTATGACGGCATTCGAACCCGAACATGCTAACAACTAACAGCGAACACCTCTACACCTTCAGCTCATTCCCACGACAGCCGGTTCTACGTACCGGAATGACTCGGGTTTCACCCGACCAAGGGCTGTTGTTTCGGCGATCTAACCCCGTCTAGATCGGCGATACCCACCAATCATTATCCGTCCATGGAGCAATACCTTGCAGCCGGATTGCTCCGCATCCTTCTTCTCCTGGCGGGCGTAGAGCCCAACCCCGGACCTGAAATTTACTTCTGCTGTGTATGCCAGAATCGACTCCACCCGAACTCCACTTCGGTTAGGTGCAACTCCTGCAACGGGTGGTGTCACCTAAGAATCTGCTCTGGCCTTAGGTCTCACCGGGAGTGGACCACAAACTTTGTGGCTCCCTGTTGCTCAAGCCAAATGGCACAATCAGCCTCCACGGCTACCCACTCGCGTAATGCACGGGTGCGACCCAGCACCCGAAGAGCCTGCACGGCCCCTAGAAGCTCCCCTGAGCAACAGCAAACCTCCCAACACCCCCCACCCACACAACCTACCGACCGGTCCTACTCGCGAGCGCGAGTCAACCAGCAGCTACTGGTTGCCCACACCATCTGCTCCGTGTGCCAGAACAGAATATACCGGAGTGTGACATCAGTCAAATGCAACATATGCCTTGGCTGGTGCCACTTCCGGCTATGTTCTGGTCTACGCACCACTCGCGAGTGGACAACAAACTACAGCGCCCCTTGCTGTAGTGCACCGCCGGCGCAGACAACGCCCATATCGCAGCCACCTACCATCAGGCTGCAACAGCAACTGCGTCAGGCGCAACAGGCCCAAGGTAGGCCCCACACTTCCCTCACCCCCCGTATCGCGACCAGCCTCCCAAGGCATATGAACGTACTCCAACTCAACTGCAACGGACTCCAGAGCAAGATTGAGGAGATAGCAGTCTTCATGGGTCGGCACGGCATATTGATAGCTGCGGTCCAAGAAACGAAGTTGCACAGCAACTCAACTCTGTTGGGTTGCGCCGCCTACAATGTACTCCGTAAAGATAGCGAGCGAGATAATGGTGGAGGACTAGCGTTCATTCTACACCACACAGTGCAGTATCGGCTAATCGAAGAAGACATCGACCCAAGGGACACTACCCTAGAATGTCAGGGCATAGCTGCCCGGTCAGGCGATGTCGAGCTCGAAATATTTAACGTGTACATACGCCCTGTCACCTGCTGCCCGGCTGGATATCTCCCTGACATAGGTGCGCTACTCAGAGGCGAAAATCGATTGGTAGTTGGTGACTTCAATGCGCACCACGATCTTTGGCACTCAAGCCTGGCCAATGATCGGAGGGGAAACAGTTTGGCTGGCGATTCTGCACCATGAACGACGACGCCCCCACCAGGATTGTGGGCAGCTGCAGCAGCTCGCCAGACCTAACAATTGCTAGCGCTGGTCTGATAAATAGCATATCATGGCGACCTATGCTAACGTTAGCATCAGACCATCTGCCCATAATCATCTCGATCAATAAGCCCACCGACTTTGCTCCCGCGGATCACCGAACCTACACCAACTTCAACAAAGCTGATTGGAACGGCTTCGCGGAAGTTACCGAGAGCAGCTTCGCCGCCCTCCCCACAGCCACAGACGTACATGCTGGCGAACGCCAGTTCCGCAGGGTAATCACAGCCGCAGCAGCTCGCTTCATACCGTCCGGACGTATCGCGGAAGTTCGCCCAAATTTCCCGGCTGAAGCAGCTGTACTAGCAAATGAGCGTGACCACCTACGCCAGGTCGACCCCGGGGACCCTCGCTTGAGGGAACTTAATTTGGAGATTCGGCAACTGTTAAATCAACACAAGCGGACAAAGTGGGAAGAGCACTTGAAGGCCTGTAACTTCACCTCTGGTGTGAGTAAGCTCTGGTCAACCGTGAGGTCCTTGTCCAACCCGACGAAGCGTGATGACAGAGTGGAAATTTCATTCGAAGGTAACGCCTCATCGGACCCGAAGAAATGCGCGAACTATTTCAGTCGGCAATTCACACTGCATCCTTCGGTAGACAAGGCCAAACGTCGAGTGACCAGGAGGCTGCACAAACTGCCCAAAAACAATGCACCACTTGTTTTCACCAGCGGTGAAGTGAAGGGGGCCATCGGGAAGGCGAAAGCGTCCAAAGCCATTGGACCCGACGGAATCTGTATGCTGATGTTGAAACATTTGGGGCCTGTGGGGGTAGCATACCTCACGGAGGTCCTCAATTTGTCTATGACCACCCTCATCATTCCTGATGTGTGGAAATCAGGGAGAGTGGTCCCACTGCTGAAACCGGGGAAGCCCGCCAACAGAGGAGACTCTTATCGCCCGATAACGCTCCTTTCCCCGGTCGCGAAGACACTTGAGGCCCTGCTGCTCCCATACTTCACCTGCCACCTAACCCCAGCGAAACATCAGCATGGCTTCCGTAAAGTGCACAGCACAACAACAGCACTTAACGCCATAAACACCCAGATAACTCGTGGCCTAAATCGAAACCGCCCCTGTGAGAGAACTGTCCTAGTAGCGCTGGACTTGTCAAAGGCGTTTGACACCGTCTGCCATTCCACGCTGCTAGAAGACATTGAGGCCTCCTCTCTCCCACAGGGACTGAAGCGATGGTCGGCGAATTATATGAGTGGTCGACAATCATCAGTAATCTTCAGAGATCAAACCTCGAAACCAAGAAGAATAAAACAAGGGGTTCCACAAGGTGGTGTTCTCTCCCCCTTACTTTTTAACTTCTACATCTCGAAACTCCCCCAGCCACTTGAAGGAGTTTCCCTGATCTCGTACGCTGATGATTGTTCGATTTTGGCGTCTGGGAATGGAATTGATGACCTCTGCTCAAAAGTAAACGACTATCTCTCCAGCCTTTCTCGCTTCTTCACTACAAGGAGCCTAACCCTCTCCCCAACGAAATCAATGGCGACCCTCTTCACCACCTGGACGAAGGAGGTCAGGCTTGAATTAGGCATTCACGTCGACGGCACACCTATACCGACGGTGAACAACCCGAAAATTTTAGGGGTTACCTTTGATAGCCTGCTCTCTTTCTCCGCGCACACAACCGCAGTTGTCAACAAAGTACAGAGCCGCAACAAGGTCCTCAAGTCGCTCGCCGGCAGCACTTGGGGCAAAGACAAAGAAACGTTGCTAGCAACATACAAGGCAATTGGCCGGCCGGTTCTAAATTATGCTGCGCCAGTTTGGTCACCGGGGACTAGTTGGACGCAGTGGACGAAGCTACAGACTTGTCAGAACGCCGCACTCCGGACAGCGACTGGGTGCCTTCTGATGACGCCTGAGCATCACCTACACAGTGAGGCCCAAGTGCTCCCCGTAAGGGAACACAACAAGATGCTCTGTACGCAGTTTCTTGTGGGGTGCCACAGAAGTGAACACCCCAACAGACCACTGCTGGAGGAGGAGCCTCCGCCCAGGCACGTCAGGGGGCACCTATTCATGTACAAGGACGCAGTCCAAACCCACACAGACCAACCACTGGACCCAATGACGTACAGACGAGCGATCAACGACATTCATAGGGAGTCTGTCTCCACCTACCTCGACTCCCGGCCTAGGAATGTCGTTATCGGAGCCAAATCACCACCTGTGGAAGAGACGGAGCTTCAATTACCAAGAGAGATCCGCGTTACCCTGGCTCAGTTACGGTCTGGATATTGTAGCCGCCTAAACAGCTACCTGTCCAGACTAGACCCAAACATCCCAAATGAGTGCCCGGCATGTGGAGACTCCCCCCATGACACCAACCACCTCTTCACATGCCAGCTCAATCCGACTCAACTAACACCCCTCTCCCTTTGGTCCGACCCCATCGAAACAGCTCGTTTCCTGTTCCTACCGTTAGTTGAGCTTGACGATAATGATTAAAAGTCGACCCGAAACAGGCGGGGCTTAGTAGTGCCGCTACAACAACAACAACAACACCTTCAGCTACAGTCAGACAGGCAAATGTGCTTTCAAATGCTCAACTTCAATCACATTCGTTAAAGCACGAGCAGTTATCGGGTAACAAACAATAAGCTGGTGCAGAGACACGAGTTGGTCCGCTACAGCATGTCAGAGTAACACTTTTGTAAGTACTCCAATATACCACAAATAGACAACATGGTCCAACGATTTTTGCAGGGGTAATGTAATTACAAGTTAATAAAAGTTGGATTAAAGTGATTTATATACAAGATAAAATAAAATAAAAGTGTGTAAACAATTAGGTAGTGTTATGTGCATTTATATATATGAAAGTATGTGACAAATGCACTCTTTGATAAGGAAATCAAGTGGAACGTCTTAAGAAATTTTAACAACAAATAACTTATATACAATTATATTGTTTATATTTTTGAGTTATACATGTTTTAGAGGATACCTCCCTTAACATGCTGAATAAGTTTCAATTGTTAATTCCACCTGGTTTTCTTAAAACACAAGGTGCGGCTGACTACTAAAGCCCACCCGAAATCGGTTTTTTTTTGGTAAAAATTACTTGTTAAATATTTAAAAAATTTCCATAACAAAATTATGCCATTTCCTTTAAACTAATCGAATTTACTGGAACTATTTTTGAAATCAATCCCAAAAATATCATCTTTCCAAACGTACCCTTAATGTAGCCGAGCGGAAAAAGGAAATTTATGCCACCTGATCATTTTGACAGTTCTTTCACAGCTGTCATTGCAAAAGTTTGTGGTTGGACGTATTGTTTTCGTCGTTGTGGCCTTTATTAGATATTTAATTAATTTCTACCTATAAAATAGACATACAATTGTGCATAATTTGTATTCAGAATTTAAATTTCCCGCTGTGGAATTTGTGGTATACAAAAGTCGATTACCGGTAAAGCTAAAGTAATGCAGCAAAGAGCACTGTCGTTGTTGGGTGCTCCACGCTTTTCTCTTTCACCTATCCCATTATCAAAGAACGCTATTCAGTTCACATTAATCATTTCCTTTTGCGGTTCGTGTACGCGTCGCTTAAGTTGCATTTAATCCGTGGTCGTTTGTGGTGTGAGCAGTCTTCTGCCACACACTGCGCTGCGTTGACCACGCAGTCGACGTTTAGTTCGATCACTTGTGGCCACTGCGGCTTCACACCTTATAATATGGATATTCAGAACGATTTGAACATAATTAGGAAGTATCGTAAATCATTATTCCATCTCACCATGATAACCTCCATTGTTGCTGCTGCCACAATAACTAATGTCTTGGGAAGTGCCAGTGTTGAGAGTGCGAAAGAAATAGATGAACAACCTATGTTGCAGTTGGATCGTCGTCCTGCTGCTATACCCTACTGCGATGATGATAACCCAGATAGCACCATTTCTCGAAGGTAAGCGAATTGTGAATTTGCAATTGCAATCACTTGCAGTTACTTGGTAGTTACATAGTACACAGTAGGTATGTGTATATCGAATATTCGAAACTATTCTCGAAATTTCTATGTTCATTACGTGACTCTTGTTAGTGGTTTTCGTAAATTTTCAGTTAATTTTTTAATAGAAGCCCAACTTGGCATTATAATTGTTATTAAATAAGGCCTTCGACTGCTTGAAACAGAGTTCTCAAACATTCCCGTAGGTTTAAATGTAGTTTGTCTTGCTATCTCAAATAAAAATGTTTCGACGAAAGTAGTAATAAATTAAGAACTGTCTATAAAACCACAAAAATGAAGTGTTTCTTGTATCTATACAAATACCGCGTTGTACTGATAAGATGAAATGGGTCTGAGAAAACATTTTCGCATTTATCAATAAAATTGCACATGTTTATATGTATGCTAATATCATTACTTTTATTAAATCTATATAATCTTTAAAAGGAATTTGAAAACATGTATTTAAGCCTTTTGCTGATTACTACTTTATATGAAAAGAAAGATCGCTTGGAAAAAAAGATCAACCAGGGGATATTTAGTGGTATAGCAAATTAGAGCATATACCATATATTTACTATAATATTGTTTCTGAAGTCATGCATAGAGTTAAAATTATAAAAAGGCATAATTCAAATACACACATACTTAATTTCACAAGTAACGTCAGCGCCAGTGAAATTGCGCGACATTGACGCCGGCAGAGGCTTTAGAGAAATTATATTACCTTCAGCGATTCCACATTTCTCTTCCCTATTTTATTTTTCATATTTTGCTATGCGCATGTTCATTCTTGCTTGGTTTTGTTGTTTGCCTTCTTTTTGCGATTGATTTCATTCCAAACATTGGAGTGAACAGCTGACCAGTCCCGGCTCCAACGAGCTTATTAGCGTATATATGTATTTGGGAAGATACTGCACCTACAAGCAAAGGCTACGGCTTTCGAGCTGATGTGGTCTTTTGCAATTTGATGATATATGTAGGTACAAGAGACGCAAAGAATGAGAGAATGCTATCGCTGATGATTTGGATAGGGCTGCTAACATCTCATATGCTTCTTACCGGCTTTTTCGAGTCTGAGACGAAAAGGGGCTGGTATTTTGGCGCGCTTTTGCTTTATGTTTCTGTTCTGCAACGAAATGGAAGCATGAACTAGTTGTCTTTAAGTACTTGTGCGTACGTACTTATGCATGCATATTAATGAACCCACAAATATGAGTCATCAATGTTTATATTGATAGTACAGAGGCATATGTACAGTGACGGGCAAAACTGTAACATGGTGTACTTCAGTCATCGCTATCTTTCCAAGTTCTAACGACTTTCATACTTTTGTTGTATGTTATTATTGGTACACCTGTACTTTCTCTATCATAATTATTTGCAGTCAATCCAACAACAATAATAAAACCAGCAGACAAAAATGTAAATTGAGGGAGGTGTTACAGTTTTGCACTCATATATTTTTAAGAACTTTATAACAATTTTAACGAGAAAAAAGAACTACTAACACAATGTTCAGTACCCTTTTGCTTGTTTTAGTTTCTGGGTGCGATTTGGCATACCTTATTTTTATACCCGAGCGCACTAGTGCACAAGGGTATATTAATTTTGTTTACATAACGGTTGTTTGTAACAGCCAAACCGAATCGAGATAGATATAGACAAATGTATACATAAATGATCAGGATGAAAAAAGAAATAGATTAAGCTATGTCTGTCTGTCCGTCTGTCCGCCTGTCCGTCCGTCCGTGTACACGATAACTCTAGCAAAAATTGAGATATCTCAACGAAATTTGGTATGTAGGTTTCCCTTAGGTTGGTATTGAAAATGGGCGAAATCGGACTGTGACCACGCCCACTTCCCATATAACGGTAGTTTCCAGAAATACGAAAACTGCGATATTTTAGTAACTACTGAAGATAATTCACTCAAAATTGATATTTACAATAATTTTTAGACGAAAAATAAGAATATTATAAATTTTTGGAAAATGGGCGTAGCCACGCCCACTTATGGTTACATGTATATATCTTGGTAATCGCTGCACCAATTTATTCCAAACTTGGCACAGTTGTTGGCCTTGATACAGCATACAAAATCGCCGAAAATTTTTAAAATCGGACGATAACCACGCCCACACCCCATATAACGGTAAATTAGAGAAATACAAAATCTTCGATAAATCAGTAAATATTGAACCTAATTTAATCAAAATTGATGCTTGCAACAATTCTTTACCAAGAAATACGTTTATGGTAAAATTTTGGAAAATGGGCGTGGCACCGCCCACTTATGATCACATATATGTATATCGGTAACCGTTCTACCAATTTTTACCAAACTCGGTGTGGTTATTGTGCTTTCCACATATAAGCAAAGGGTTGAAAATTATTGAAATCGGACCAAAATTACGGCCGCTTTTCATATAACGGTAAATTTCAGAAATGCTTGAAACTTCAATATTTCGAAATTGAAGGACGCTAATTTACTCAAAATTGATACACCCCGGCTTACCATCTAGCGGTAGGTTTCGGAGAGGTGAAAAAGCATATATTTAATACTTGCGCCGGGTATTTAATGTTCGGCTCTGCCCGAACTTAGACTTTGTTACTTGTGTAAAACTTCTGGAGGTATATCCTCCATATATCCTTAGTTTGCTTTCACAGCTCATGTACTCGATTATACGGACTTGGATACTTAATAAGCTGTGCTTCTAGTTGAATTCGCAAATTCTCGATAAGAATTATGTCCGCGGATTGTGGAGGTCATTTCAAATTAGCAAATTTTTTATTTTGTATCCAGTCTTTGCGAACATATGCAGTATGTTTTGGGTGATTTGTCAGCAGCAACTCTCATTTTTCGACTACATCTTGCAAATTTTGTTGAAATATGAACAGATACTGTTCCTTACGCATAATGCGTACTAACGGACCCACAAAATTGTTTAAATACAACCCCAAACTATTATTGAACGACCACTGTGATTCACAGTTTGCCTCACATGTTGCGCATGGGCTTAATTTGGGTCTTTGATCCAATACCATGCCCGGCCATCTGAACTGAAACTTAAAAATATGTTTTTTATTGCATTCTGAAAGGCGTAACATATCCCAATAGGCAACGGTCCGGTTTTCGGAAAATGCTACCACTCTCGTACATATATTTTGGTCAAATTAGCTTTTTTCTTCTTTTATGATGCCCTTGCGCTAATTTGGCAATTTGTCGCCTCGCTGTCTACTGATTTGCATTAAAGTTTAATACCTTAAGCGCTTCTGTAATAGTGGCTGCATCGCTACTTGCTGCGAAGTTCAAAGATATTGGACCGTAATATTTTTTGATAGATTTCCTTTGCCCTTGGGAACACTTTAGGCTATATTTTTTATCAATCTAAATATTTTCAATTAATACAGTTGAAAATACTGATCATATAATTTTCAAATGTAACAAATATAACAATTCACGAGATAAATACCCAATACTCAAAAATACTTCATCATTAATTGAATTTCATCAAAATACTAATGGCAAAGCATATAAATCTATCACTAATTTTTTAAAGGACTGAAATTAATTTATAATTTTATAATTTAATCTAAAATTGGAGATGGCGTTTTAAGCTTTTTTGCTGGCCAATTAATTCTTCTTATAAAGAATTTTAAATTACAAAAAAAAAAAAATAATATTTTCAAGTAACAAACTCTAAAATTGTTTGCCACTTTCCTGCGGTCCCGCCTTTCCACAGTAAATCTATTATTTACATTTATGGTTCCTGATTAACTATATTATTTACTGGTGATTACTTCTTCAATAAATTACAATACAGAAAAAAGTCATCTGACTTCTAACTAAGTAAAAAATAACTAAAATGCAAAACTGAGAGTAAGTGCAAAACTGCAACGTTTGCCTTAATTTACATTTTTGTCTGCTGGGTTGTTTATTGTTGTTGTATTGACTTCAAATCGTTATGAGAGAGGGAGCAGGGATGTACCAACAAGAATATACAACCAAAGGATGAAAGTCGTTAGAACTTGGAAGCATAGCGGTGGGTGAATTAAAAAGTGTTACACCATGTTACAGTTTTGCTCGTCACTGTAGGTAGAGTATTAAGATGAGAGTCTGATGCAATTATGAATAGCGTGAGTTGCGCTTTGTCTTACCTATTTATACTTTTATTTTGTTTAGTTGTATTGAGAAAACTTAAAAATATTGTAAGGGTTATCAGAGAAACGGAGGCGCTAGGTTTCGAGCTGCATTAGTTACGCAACAAATGTTGCTAGCAATCGAACCATATTTGCAAGCGTAAATTAAGTCTATGAGTAATAAGATACTAACCTCGTTATCATAATGCCATGCAACAGTTTTAATGACTTAACAAACTATGTAGATGCCAATAGTTTTTTAACCGACTTCAAAAAAAGGAGAAGTTATCAATTCGTCGGGAGGAAAGGTGTTACTTCACAGGTGCCCCATGCTAATTTTGTTTAAATCTGATCATTGGATCATGAAGAAATTAACGATAGTCTTAACTTCTTATATGAGAATCTAATTTCGGTTTTATTTTTTACTTTAAAAAATATTTGTCAGAATAACACGACTGTTGTTAAAACAACAAAATATATTTAAAACAAGTAATTTTTAAGCAATAAACAAAACGGACTTCGATTCTCATATAAAAAGTTAAGATTATCATTAATTTCTTCATGATCCAATTGATCGGATTTAAATAAAATAACCTGTGAGGTAACACCTTGCCTTTAAAAAAAAGAGTTATAGAAATGGTTAACGCGGTCCAAAGTTATGCGGTAACATAAATAAAAAAATATATCCGGCGAATTGATAACCTTCTCCTTTTAGGTCTTGGTCTTCACAATAAATCATTTCCTCGCGCTGTCGGTAGAATCAACTAACATCAACGAGTCAAATAGCACTCATTCTAGAGATGGTTAGCTCTACAATACCAGAATGACTCGGGAGACATTCCTTCGAACATATCTAGCCCGCGCGGGCATTGAACAAAACGCCGGATCATGGCCATGCAGCTTTTGCCGAAGGAATATTCACGAGACCCCGACCTCAATGCGTTGAACGATCTGAAGTAACTACGACACCACAGGAATTTGAGTAGTTCATAGAAAACGTGCCAGTACGATCATCTATTAGGTACGCATACCGGGACATCCACTGGGCCATCAGCTTACGCAACAAAAGTGGCAGCAGTGGTATTATTGTGTCATCCCACGTGTCACAAAATACAGGTCACTATCTCGCTGCTGCAGATTAATTGTATATAACGTTATGCAAAGAAAAGTTCCAGAGATAACCATTTTCATACAGGAGACAAATTATATTTCAGCTCCAGCCCTCAGCAGCGGGTCGAGGACAACATCCTCTAAGAACCGTTGTCTTTACATGGTCAAATCTCTTCGCTACCAGCTGTTACTGGGAACGGGTGCGTACATAGAAACCTTACTCGTGACTGTCAAGACGATTGTACGGGTGGTGGTGAACTACGCTGCGCCACTATTACTACAAACACAGTTAATTAGTCGACATAATAAAGTTTACTAAATTTACGAATCGCAAAAACCTGGCCAATTCTGATGGCGAAGTGTGATAAGCAGCGTTTCTAAGCTACATTTGGAGCACTAAAATCAAAATACGTAAGATGAAGCTCACAGTTTTATACCTCAGCAAACGAAGATTTCATAGCTTTTTATTACGTTCCTTTTATTAACTCGGGAGTAACTATGTAATATTGATGCGCCTAAAAGATGCAGCGATTTCTATTCTCAAGTTACATACCTGATGACAGTACGAATGGCAATTATAATAGGGAGGTTTTAGTTCTTTAAACTATAATTTTATTATTGTACTATGCATAGACTGATTTCATTATCAACAAGCCAATTCCTGTTTAATTGGTGTCTGTCGGGAATTAAAAGGGCATGTTGTTGTTTTTGTTGTAATAGCATACAAATTCCACAAAGAGTTTTTGGAAAATGCTCTTGAGTGATCAGATATACATAAATAGAGTCGATCCGGTTACATAGAACTGACTGTGTGGTAACCATCGATAGGAAAGGCAAGGCCGCTTATCTAGACTGGCGTTGGTCTTTAGTTCATAGTACACATATACAATGTATTTTTGTATGGAGATAAACATTTGTACATACCCTGCAAAAAATCTGACTAGCTCAGAACTAGACCCTTTGCCGACATTACTTGTTCTGGCTCAATACCCAAGCAATGCTTTCAACTGTCCAGTTTTACACGGCTATGTCCTTGGCGATGGCAATTGTTGGCCAGTGCATTACTTTGCCATCAGTTTTTAACCGGTTCCGCTTCGGACAGTTTCGTTTTTTTTTTTTTATAAAAAAACGCATTTGAGATTCGATATTTGGATATTTTTTACGATTTTTCTTTTCTTTTACAGATTCCATTTTTGTTACATATTTTATTAAAACAAAAAAATTAATTGTAAGCTGCACGCAACAATTTCAAATCATTAAATTTGAAAACTCACAACTGCCTCCACCGCTATTTGAACTCGCTACCAACGATGGTTGAGTCGGAGTCTTTTCGCTGAGCTACTTTCGTATTGTACGAGTAGTGAGTATTTGCACAATACCATCAAAAGTTTCAACTGTACCGCTCTGAATTCCTTTTGCACTAGTTCAGAGATAGTTCTGATATATATAGTTCGGAACTAGCGCTTTGTCAGACTGTCTCTAAATTTTACTGCATACATACCGTATGTATGCAAATAAATACTTACATACATATGTATGTGCTAATCCAAAAGTTAAACAGCTAAACAAACAAATAAATGTTTCAGATTACCGAAAATAGCGAGTGTTTTTTGTACTTTATTTATTTGCATACATATATTCGTTTATTTAGATTTTAGGTCTTTTGAGTACCACCCCTCTGCGAAATTAATTGTACAAACGTTTCTTTAAAAATATGAATAAAAAACTTCCCACTCTTTCAGACTCTTGTACATAACCACGCTGGACGGACGCTTGTCAGCGCTTGATGTCGGTAAAGGCGGTAAATTACGTTGGAGTGTGCCAACCGGTCCGGGGCCACTCATATCGTCAAGCATTCACCGCCTTGAATTGACCAACAATGGACAATTTGTGCGTATGATACCATCACTGAGTGGTGGTATCTATAAATTTGATGGTGAATCTATTGATCCGATACCTATAACCACCGAAAATTTGCTCAGTTCTTCGGCGAAATTCTCTGATGATCTGGTCATTTCGGGTGGCAAGGAGACCCGCACCTATGGTGTGTCTTTGCGTACTGGACAACTATTATACGAATGTTCCATGCATGGTTGTATCAATTCGACAGATGTCAGGGAGGCGGCTTTGAATGATGAAGAAAATAGTAGAAATACTGTTGGTGGCCAGGAGAAAATGGAACATGATCCACTTATTGACGATGTAATGGTTGTGCGTCGTCAAACACAAACCGTACGAGCTGTGGAGTCACGTACCGGTGTTGAACGTTGGAATTTTAGCGTTGGTCAGCATGAATTGAATATTATTAAGCCAGCTGAGTGTCACGATCGTCCATATAGTGACATGGATATGGATATGTTAGATCTGGATATAAGAGTGGTGGTGCCAGAGGGTGTTATCTGTGCGTTCAGCAAGTCAAATCCGAATGTAATGCTGTGGAAATATAAGGTATGTATCTATGTAGGTTAATAAGCAAGCAATCAAGAGTTGACATTAGGGCAGGGGCTATCCGGTTAATATCTGTTCATTTGGTTATCCGGATATCCGGATTTTTCAATCAGATATTCGAACAGTTATCGGGATTGTCCGGATAGTCAAAGAATCAGGATAAAACGCCCAGCCCTAGGTAACCTACAAGAGAGAAATAGGAGGCTTGGTGCCTTAAATATTCTAGAAAACTTCGAAAGTGTTGAAATTTCGTGTGAACTGTGAAAATTTCTACTAAAATCACTTCCGGCTTTAAAATCAAACGAGTTTATGGAGAATAAATCCAATCAATTTATTTTTCTTGTGGACTACTCAATTTTTTGCTTAATTCTTTTAGTTCGATCATCCCATTGTGAGCGGTTGGAAACTTAGTGCCGATGATGAACTAGAAATGATAGATATGTTCAGCTCAGCTCAGTGGATGTGGGATCACGAAGAGAACATATTTGAACCACCCATAAATGCTATGAGTCCTGCAATTTATCTGGGCATGTACGATAAACAGTTGTATATTCAGGTATTTTATTTTTTTTCTCATATATTCGCCTACATATTATTTATAACCGTTGCTATATTTCAGGAATCTGTTAACTTGCGTCGCGAAATCGATGATCAGTCTAATTTATATTCTCATCTGACTACGGACTCAACAATGCCTATAATACCTTGGCGTCCCATACCAGCCAGCAGCAACTCATTGGCCATACTTAAGAATGATAAAGCCATAACAGATAGAAGCAAGCCAGATTCTTCGCATGAAGTTGCTGTGCTTCCGAACGCCAATAATGCAGTGCAGGGCAATGAGTTAGTACCCTATGAGGAGGAAAAATTTGCAGTGGCCGCAAAATCAGTGCTTAACGGCTCGGAGTTTGTAAATGGAAATGGGTTCTATTTATATGCGCGTGAAGATTCGAAAATAGAAGATGAAAATGCGCATTGTGAACCCGATGGGGAAGAGAATGAGGAGGATGGAGAGGATGACGAGGAAGATTTAGGAAACAGTGGTGATGGTGATGCAGTTGGCACAGGTGCAAATCGTACTAATCGCACAGTAAGCGATGATTTGGGCTTTAGCCTAGACGATATCGATGCACCAGTCAAGGTAGTGATACTATCCCTGTGGTTCTGGTGGAAGGAAGTGGTAGTGATTGCATTGACCACGGCAGTGTTGGTCAATCTATTTATAGGGCAACGTCAGCGACAAGAGGTATTGGTGATTGAACGTCATGTGCCGGTGCCAACCGCCTATGAGGCCACCGAACAGTCAACAGTCGCGCTATTGGGGCCCACAAATGTTGCGGTAAATGGCAATGCTAATGGATCCGTCAACGTCCATCGTTCACTTTCGGAGTCTACCTCCTGCTCGGGTGATAATTTCATTTCGCGATTTCAGAGTGACTTCGATTTGATGCGCTGCCTAGGACGAGGTGGCTTTGGTGTTGTCTTCGAGGCGAAGAACAAATTAGATGATTGCAAATACGCTGTGAAGCGTATTACATTGCCCAATAAGAAAGAGTCGCGTGATCGTGTAATGCGAGAAGTGAAAACCTTAGCCAACTGCGAACACCAGAATATTGTGCGCTACTTTCAGGTCAGTTTATAGCGCATTTATTATATATATTTCTGACAGTTAATACAAACTGATCTTTTGCTCTGCAGGCTTGGGTCGAGACACCACCACCAGGCTGGCAAGAGGAGGAGGATAGTAAGTGGTTAGCGCACGAAATGTCGATGTCCATACAAATTGAAACGCCCGATGGCACAACACTGCCCTCATTCGATAATGTGCCATCGGCTCAAATCCCACCGAGACGTCAGTTGCAGGTTGAGCGTAAACGTCAACTACTCTCTTGGATGTCAAGCTTGAATAATACTGATTGTGGATCTGATAAAGAGCACAACAACTGCATTGACGAAGATGACGATGACGATTCGTGTATTGTATTCCGCTCAGAGTCACAGTCGCTGGCGTTGAAGGGAAGAGACGACAGTGAAAGTGACAGCGAAATCTTAGTTGGAAGCAAAAATTGCATTGCCAAGAGAGACCAGCAAGAAAACGGCAATAGGGCGCAAACAAATGCCATTTCAATTGACATTCATTCCAATTCGTTTGACTTGAGTTTGCAAAAGAACGGCAAGAATATCGATTACACACAACTGTCCGATTCCTTTCAGATTGAATTTGTGCGCTCCGCAAACGGCGACGAATCAAACGGTGATAGTGGCTGCGATGGCCAAGCAAATGGCGATGTATGGACTTCCAGAGATGCAGACCGTTCGTTTAATGGTAACAATTACAAAGCGAGCTCCAAGTCCAAACAACGCCCCAATTCCTTAGAGCTCGGCAACATTTCCGTAAATATAGACAACAACAATAGTTGTAAGGCATTAATGCCAGCCGTCGCAGTGCTGTCCACACCGAAGCCACAGCAAAACAAAGTATACCTGTACATACAAATGCAACTTTGTCGCAAAGAGAGCTTGCGCGACTGGTTGCGCGAAAATCGCTGTGAGTCGCGCCAAAGTCAAATCGCCAGTATTTTCCATCAAATCGTCGATGCAGTCGACTATGTGCATTTGAAGGGACTTATACATCGCGACCTTAAACCCAGCAACATTTTCTTCTCCCAAGATGGCCAAATCAAAATCGGTGACTTCGGTCTCGTCACCGACATGTCCGACATACCGAATATGGTGACAAAGTGTGGCGATACAACTGGGCTACCTTCATGTGCGCGCCATACGCAACAGGTTGGCACACACCTGTACATGTCGCCAGAGCAGCTGCGTGGCCAGCACTATGATTTCAAAGTGGATATCTACTCGCTTGGCCTGATCTTCTTTGAGTTGCTTGTGTTCTTTGGCACCGAAATGGAACGTATTAAAACTCTGCGCAATCTCAGAGATGGCAGCTATCCACAAGAGTTTCCGCTGGCTTTCCCCAAAGAACACGAGCTGCTTAAGTTGATGTTGTCCAAGTTACCCGCCGAACGGCCAGCGACGGCAGAGCTCAAACTGAAGTTGCTCGACATACTTAAGTGGCCTGATTTTACAGTGGGCGATGGTGATCCTGTGTCGTTGGTGGCAGCGGCTGCTCGTCGTTATAGCCGAAGTCGAACATTTAGCACTAGTGGTGCGTGAAGACTATAACTATAAGGAACACATTTTATTTTTTACTTAAATCGAAGATGTCATACATATTTTGATTGTCCGTCTAGTTAGTTAGTTTTTAAGTTAATGTAATCATTAGTTATACGAATAATTTTATTGCGAAATACATAAGGATTTAGAAAACTCGGAAAACAACCTTAATGAAATTGAT